AGGTTCCCTCTATAATACCTACAGGGGGCTAGACAGCTCCAGAAGGCCAGCCAAATGGGCAGAGGGCTGAACCTCGCTCTGGAGAAGTCTCCTCGCAGCTCAGTAAGGTGCCTCCAGCTAGGCAGGATGACTCCGTGCCCAAGTCTGCATCTTGGACACGCACATGCATGACCCAAATAAGGAGAAGAAAAAGCCTCTTTCTCATTGTAAACTGCCTCAATGGCCTGACTGATGTGGCCGTGGGATGATTTTGGCAGGAATACAAGCAGCAGCTAGTAAGAACAGGAGACCTGGGCTTTGCTTGCAGCCTTGCACAGGATGCTGATGCTGACTGGTGAGGAGGCAGCACAGGCTGGGGCTAGGCAGGTGTGGTGGGGTTTAGCTTGGCTGACGTTACCCATTCAAAAATTAAGTATCTAGCCTGAGCCAGTCATCTAGAACTGGTAAGGGTGGTCAACGGAGAGAGACAGGCCCCTTGTCTTGTACAAAGGCAGGTGTCCAAAACAGGAGGGGTGACCCCCTAGAAGTGCCCTTAGGCGATGGGGCGCTGGGATTGGGGGCCCCAAACAAGCATCCTATCCCAGGGATGATGCTCAACTCTGTCACTGACCTCCAGGGCTGGTAGACAAGCCAGTTCTACTTTCTTTGGCATTGTTTTAGGCCTGCCATAAAACACAGATGAAAACATCACTTTTTTTTTGGAAAAACGCTTTGAACCCTTTGGACGAAAAACCTGTTCGCTAGGCAGGTGTTATAATCATTGTTCTCTGCCTCATAGCACAGAGACTTGTGTCCACCTCCCACTAAAAAGCAACTGTAGGAGACAAGTGAAATGCTTCTGTGTTATGGTGAACTGAACAGCAGTAATATGCTGTTTGACTCTAGGGTTAAAAGTGCTGGTACAAAGGCCAGAACCATGAATTTCAGAGCAATATACTGTATGGACCTAAGGGACTGACTGGTCTTGAAAACACGCAGCAGCACTTTGTAGCAAAACGATGTTCATCATAACACAAGCATTTTAGCGTAAAGCATAATTAATTTACATTAAGATAGATTAAAACCTTTATTTCAAAAGAATTGTATGAACAGTTCTCTTTAATTTATATCCACTTATGGTGAAATAGTCAAACTAATCACAGAAATCTTCTGAAGTAGTTATTTCCAGAAGCAAGCAATTAGGCACTTTTAAAATGAGTTTTGGATGTGATTTTAATATGAAATTAGATAAAGTCTTCATTGATAATCTTGGCATAAAGCAGAGTGGTATTTAGTCTCTATTCTTAAAAGATTTTACAGTTGCCCCTGAAGTGATCAATTATTATGAAGTGCAAAGTAGGCATGCAGGTACTCATCCAGAGAGCCAGCAGTGATGGACTTTACAATTTATTGTGCCACCACCTCTTTTGTCCCCTCTGGGGGAAGACCTACACAGATGCCCCAGCTGGGTAAGGACTCATGGGCTAAGCGTAATTCTACATCCAGGTCCACTAATTTCAAGGCTCTGGGCTCTTTGTTAATCACTACCAATCATGCTAACAGGATTAAAGGTGATCCGCATGGTTAAACTTCAGGCTTTCTAGTGAAACTATTCCAGAGGAGAAATAAATTATATGGGATCTGTAATGCTGATGCAAGCTAACAGCACTTGAGGGGCTTGGAGTGGGATTTGGAGACGAGTTTGGCCCATGGGCTATCCTAGTAGTACTTCACCCTCCAGAGGTTGGTGGGACACCTTCCACCGAGCCAGTACTTCTCTGAAACAGCTGGCTTAACAGCCCAGACAACAGGCTGGTTGAGCTCTCTGTGCTGCATGTCTGCAGACTGAGCACAGCTGAGCTATCCAAACTAAAATACACTTTGTAACCAGGTGACCACATGCTTACACCAAAAGCATTTTTTTCTGATGCTAAATAAATATGAATTTACAGAAGATCCAAATCAGCTATCTCTTGACACGCGCATTTTTCAAACTTAAAAGATAGCTACTTATATAAAGATGATGTCATTTAAAAAAAAGGAAAAAAGACTAAAGATAGCAAAAATAATTTAGTAAAGGTGCAGAAAGCCTTCAGTTTTGAATAATGCCATCTAAATATTCCCTTACCTGCTTGAATTGCTGCCTCATTCCTCTTGGAAAGGGCAATATAAGAGAGCTCTGATGATTTATGGAAGAGTCATATAGGCACAGCACCTGTTTTGGCTTCCCAGGATGGAGCAGGTAAGCTACCCCGTTATCATCATGATGCCTAGTACTAACAATAAAGGCCATGCATTTAACATTCAGGGGATTGCTTATTGCTCAAATAAGCAGCACTGAATTTCTTGCCTTTAAAGAAGGCTAAAACACAGTTTTTCCCAACTGAATGCATTAAAAAATTGTATTTTGTCAGAAAAATGAGCAATAAGGTGTAAAATTTGTGCCAAACCATGCATAAAATGTCAGCTTTCTGTTTCATAGCTACGACATTAATTTCACACAAATCAAATTCATTATGAGTGTCAGTATTGCACATATCAATAACAGATTCCCTGTTTTATTGTTAGGTTAAATAAAGTCCTTGAAACTTTTGGTTTTTTTAAAAGAAGAAAAATTAATTACCTCATGCAGTATTTTGTAGGTTTTTTTCTGCCTCAGATAAATATTTGCATTCTAAAATATAACCCCTCTTTTCTGCCATGTGATAATTTTGCTTGCTTACAGTTATTGTTGCCATGCAGCAGAATCACACACCTTCAATTTTCCATAATTAAACATTTCCTAAAAGGCAATATTTGGAAATAGTGCAACACAAATGCACCTTGTAGACAGAACGGAAGGAGAGCGATGACTGAAACCTTTGACTGGTGTCATTATTAGAAAGTTTCTTTACTTTTTGATTCTTTGCAGAGATTTTCCAAGTTTACTTATGAGCGATCATTCTGGAGCCAAACTGCACTGATTTATTCTAAACTAAAGCAAGAACAGCTGAAAGTTGTGTTTTACTCAGCATCTTTACCTCCCACCATGTTCAATGAGAGCAAAGGGAATTCAGGAATCCCAGAAATCTCAAATTCCTAATGAAGAACATGGTGTGCTGCACAATGTTTCCCCCACTATTTAATTATTCCTGAAAAGGCACGGAGGTAGTGACGTACCTACTCAACATTTTCCTGTTAAATATTAATTTCATATTTCACAATGATTTATCTAACGGGCAACTATATATTTAATAACCCTCTGGTCCACATTACTTCTGACCTAGGAAGCTAGCCCAGTGCCACTGCAGTAAATAGCAATACTTTCCCGCTGAGCAACATACAGCAGCCTGCTCAAGACATTGTTCTTCTCCCACCTACGCTCTGCAGCTGGAGGATCATTACACAACCACCATGTGTAGGACAGGACAGAGCTGCATGGCTCCGGCTCATAGATCCAGGACCGGGAGGTTTCCAAAAACTGGGAAATATGAGAACATGCGTCTATGGAGTCACCTGCCAAGGCAGGGGATTTATCTCAGGTTCTTTGAAAATTTATCGAACACGAGAAACTTTGCAGAGAACGCTCCAGGTTCAAAGAATCAACGTTGCGGGTGTACCAGCAAACACTGACGTAAATTTAGGGAAAGGATTAGACTGTTGCAGAAGTGTAAATAAGTACATTGTGTTTTTGAAACCAGGGTAATGAGACAAGTAGCGAGAAAGAAAAAAAATCAATTATAGCTTCAAATATTTCAGTTTCATGCCAGGATATTTCAGAAAACTTTCTTGAACTCTTTCTTTTCTGACCTCAACCACCGCATTTTTTTTTTATTATTTTAACACAGGAATGAAATAAAAATGATCCCTGCCTCAGGTTTGCTTTTTCTGTGATATTAAAAAAAAATCAACGCAAGTTTGTGAAATATATGCAAAAATATTTTTTGAACCAGGAAACTTTTTTCAGTTGATTTTTTTTCTCATAGAACCACCTAGTTTTCTTAAAGATATTAAAAGGGGGGAGGTGTGAGTAAACTGAAGAATTTCAACAAAAATTCACACTCTTATTTTCATCTGAAAGGGCTTGGTCTAAGATGATGAAAATTAAAAGAAGTTGTAGGTATTTCAGCTTCTTACAAAAGGTTAACACTTCAGCTGGAAACTCCACAGCCCCCCACAGTTTTGCCTATCAATCAATCAGCTCTAAAATCAAAGGGAAAAGGAGTATAAGAAAATTAAGCAATGGTAAGCCTGTGACACATGTGGACACATGCAGTTGCATTTTGGGGAAATCAGAGCCAAAAAACTCTGTTCAGTTAGGAACAAAAAGGTGCGATTAATAGTACTTATTTAATTCCACCGTGCCGTGCCGTACCTTCATAATTCTGCTGGGTTCAAAGTCACATCTTGCTCAGGGAGGCCGTGTCCATGAGCAATAATGCTCAGCTCTGAGGAAGCTGTAGCTGATGCTCCTTCCCTCATAGTTGCAACTTGCTCCGATTGAAGCTCTTGCTTCCCCCTTTCCCTCAGAAACAAAAATTCAGAAATTACTGAAATCTCTTCTGAAGCAACAGTAATCTGCTGTTCGTTACCAATCAGGAGGACACATCACATAGTGTAGTCAGTGTGACTACTATTGAAGTATGTTATTTCAGCTTACCTTCACCTAAATTGTTACAAGGCTGAAGGAAATGTTTAATAAAAATACCTCAGGCCAGATAAATTTTTCTCATTTTGGTACATCATAAACATCTTGAAACTCAGCCAAACTCTTTCTAAAATTTTCACCCACTGGGTGTAATATTAGGAGCTTCTGGTACTGTGTGGCTCAGTGTTAAAGCTCAGGGAAAGTGTCCTTCTGCTGAAAACTGTAGTAGAAGAAGACTTCATATAGCTCAGTAAATTGAACTTAAAGCCATAGCTACATAGTCAGTTGAACAAGGGGAATCGATTCAGCTGTAAAATAACCCAGAAAACCGCACGACATTAGTTTTCAGGATGATCAGGGGTGGGAGCACTCGTGTCTTTCACAGCAGCTTGGAGGAAGGCCAGATCGACGTGGTGGTGTAGCCACATCCTCATCTCACATACCTGCTGGTTGAACCTATCTGGAGGGTGCTGCTCTCAAAGATAAAAAGAGTTAAAGTTTTCAGAGCTCTGCCCTCCACATAACAGCCCATTTGCAGTCCCTAGAGACTGCAGTTCCCACCAGCATCCCTGGGCACTCACAGATTCAAGGTTAGGCACGATTACAGTGCACTCGCGACTTTTTTTACTTTCACAGAGCATGCCCACGGCAAGGTTTTACTGGCTTTCGTATTTCTTTTGCCGTGGGAAGAAAAAAGATCAACATCGAAGAGGATGAGGCCCATTAAAAACTCAATATTCTACTACAATGACTGTTTTTTGGCCTCATATGCAGCAGCTTTCTTTATCAGGTGTGTAACTTCATTGCCTGTTCTATAGCCCACGCAGGTCAAGAGTTTGTTATCTGCAGGACATTGTGCTCCTACTTCCAGAATAGCTGATACCTGGAAAAAGAACTATTCTTGAGTGAAAAGCAGAGACGACCTGATTCTGTTAGTCAGTTTTGTCACTCTATCTCCATAGATTTCTATGAAGATGGAAGGAAAAAGTTGTTGGTTGGAGATCAGACCTTGTGCTCCTGATGGCTTTTACAGAGCAACTATAGTGTTACAGAGCACTACTGCATGAAAAAATATCTGTGCTTCATTTTCTATTACTTGTTTGCCCTTAGCTCAATCACCTTGAAAATCTGCATTACCACTTAGGTGGTGAAACATCCATTATCTCACACCTTGAAGACAGGAAGAGTAAAATAGGGATGCTTAGAAAATGCTGTGCTGTCTCCTCTGCAGTATGGCAAATCTCACACATTTTAAAATTGTAAACATATTCCAACTCACATTTATTCACATGTTACTGCTTTCACATTGATGCAGTGCAAGATACCGCTCATTTCAGATGGGGCACCAACATACCCCAGTAAACTCTTGATATCTTTTACATCGTGAATTAATACTGTACTCAGAACATTAATAAATACTTGAAAAGTCTGTAAATAACCTACATAGAACTCCTTTGTAAAATTATTTACCTTATTTAAGTAGATTTATTTTGGCTTCAAAATAAATTATACCATGAATTGTAGATGCAACCATTTAGACAAATTTTGTGCCCCTTGTATGGTCTTTACCACTGCTGCAAGTCTGCCTGAGTCTGGGATTGAGCAGAAACTGATGAAGAAACTCCAGGTCCGAACTGGATTTGATCTTACGGCACTCTCTTCACCTTCATTAAAGGCAGTGGATTTTGAAGGGACACAGCCCATCCCAGGGAGATCTTGTGGTCAGGTACTAATGATCTGCTGCTCTGGACATGCCTCAGCCCAGGGTGAAAAGCTGGATGCTTCAAGCTCCTCTGAGGTCTCTGAACACAACAGATTTCCTTGTGTAGGTGTGTGTGTGTGTGTGTGTGTGTGTGCGCTGCTCCCCAGCCCCACAGAATAAAACCAACCTTTCACACTAGGCATGTCCTGCCTGGTTCCTGACAATGCATTTTAGACATAGCCTTCGTGACAGACATGGTTGCCATTGATAAGGCTGAAGGTAGCCAGGGAATGGTTGGTGCTCTTGAGGGAGGTCATTCGTGTGGTGCTCCTGGCCATGCTCTGAGAGCGGATGAGGAGGCGAGCTCTGCAGCAGAACAGCTGGTTGTTGAACTGTTTTCTAAAGCTCTTGCTGAGCAAGTAGAGAGCAAATGGGTTGACGCAAGAGTTAGTGAAGGCCAGGATCCGAGCGCAGATGCTGGCAATGAAATGCAGCACTGAAGTGTCCACCTCCGAGTAGTGGTAGGACCGGTATAAATAGATGATGTGAGTGGGAAGCCAGCAGAAGGCAAAGAGGCACACAAAGACCAGTACTGTCCTAGCCAGGCGCTTACGAGATTCAATCTGGAAGAACGAAGGGAAATGTAGATTAGCAACGCTTTGACTGATAGCTGACTATTTTTCCCAGTGTGGTAGCTTAGGGGCTAATGTATGAAAAGTGGCACAATGACAGCAGGGGAACTGGACTGCAGGTGAACAGAGACTTAAGGACCCTCCTTGCCTTTCTTCACCCACCCTTCCCTTAAAAACAAGTGATTTTGCAAATTCATTATATAATGAAATGCAATCTTTCTTCTCCTGTTTAGAGATAAGTTTCAAATGGCTAGTCACTTAGTAAAACCCTGTCTTAGGTAACAAAAGTGCAGATGCCAACATTAATTATCTGCTGGGGTAGGGGCCTGGGTTACTTCACAGAGCCCAGAGGCAGGACTTTATGCCTTGGGGCCATGTAGTATATGTACACAAATGTGCTGCCAACTGCTCATGGCCTGCAGAGACCAAGTGCAGCATCCGGAGACCAAAGGAACTGGAGAAAATAAAATGGGAAATTCTGTATTTAGAGATACAAAGCAGTGCAGAGGTGGACCCTTCAGCTGAAAGAGTTGGGGCCATGAGGCGCAGGTGATGTAGGTGGTGAAGAGACTGATGACCGTCCCTCTAGCAAAATTTGAGCTGCAGTAGAAGAAGATGTGTTTTTACAATGTCAGCTAGCACGCAATATAGCCTTCACACAGACAAGCCACCCTTTTGTTTTATTTAGATGTAAAGGCTTGGAGTTAACCCAAAGGTATTGCTCAACACTGGTGAGCTGAGGTAAACAATACTTTCCCTTTTCTCACCAGCATTGCACACTAAGGTAACAACGCCACTGGAAAACACATATTTCTTCCCAATGAAATCAAGAATGCCGGAGGTCACACAAAAGAAGGGGACGGACAGAGTTGTCCAGAAAAACCTGCTGAAATACACTGCACCCTGGGAGAGTTGCACAGCCAGAAGTTTGCAGGCACAGCAAGTATAACACCATTGCTTTTTCAGGGCTTTGCCGTGGTCTCCTGTCTGGTAGTTTCTGCACCTCTTCCCAGACACTTTTGCGTACTTTGTTGCCACCTGCTCCCTGTATTTGAGTGTGATCTCAGTAGCCTGAAACTCCACACGCCCACAGGGCCCCCTGCCCTTGCTCCTGCGTTCATGCAGCCGTGGCACCTCGTCAAGCTCTTGGGCTGCTCCCAGTCATCACTCAGCAGGAGTTATGGCCAAGGTGAGAATAACTCAGAGAAGGGCAACATGGATAGGAAAGGGTAATGCAGGATTTGGTCAAAGTTGACCTGTTTATTTTTTCTGAGAAAAATTCTCCTTGATTAAAAGTCAGAAGATGAGGTCTCCAAAATGTGAAACTTCCAGAAAATCTTTTTTAAAGAATTTCCACCTCCCCCTTTAATATACCACTGTTCACACAATCACATGTATTGCTTTGCTGGTAGTGTGCCTTGCTTGGGGCAGATTCTGTGCTTTATGTGCAGCTCTAATAAGTCCCGCTGCCCATTTTTTATTATTCACCTGAAAGATTGCGCCTCAGCTCCCAAGCTGTAGAAGTAAATCAGAAATTGAGCAGCTCACATTAGCTGATCTTTGCTCAGGACAGCAGCAAGCAGGGAGCAGGCAGGAGAGACCTGGCAAGCCCATTTTGACTTTATTTTGTGCCCCTTTAATGGCACTGACTGAAAGTTAGCCATTGAGCTCAGAAAGGATTGACATGTACCAGATGATAATGTCTCCAGAGAGCGGGCTGAAAATTAAATCCTTTGAGAAAGGGCTCTCCACGGCCAAACCATATATTCTTTTTAAATGTATCCTTAATTTGATACAGGGCTACTGAAGCCACATCTGCACTATAAAGAAAGGAAGCAACACAATAAAGAAATCAATACTAGTTATCTCAGATGGAGACCTATAGCTCGCGAATGCACTGCAGGACTGGATGATGGACTGACGGTGCTAGACCGCAGCCTGTCCTTTTGCTTTCTTTAGAGTTCTCTCCCTAAAACCAAAGGAGGAAAGGGCTGCTTTTACTACTCACTTTACTGTCTCTAATCAAAACAGTCGTCGACTCAGCATAAAAAATGACCTGTATGGGAAAAAGATTTATGCATGTTCATAAAGGAAGAAGGATAAGGATTTCGTGGGTTGTACATCAATTAATGGGCAGAAAACACAGTTTTCCATCCCTGCTGTTTCACCTTATCACCAAAAGGCCACATGAGAAGATTATGTTAGGGCCGCCTAAGGTGGTGATGTCAGCTTGGAGCAGTTATATGGACATTCATTCAGTTGAAGAATGGCTTGTGCCAGTTTAGTTTAAGTTGAAGCACTCCTCACTTGAAAGGAAGGGCATATGTCAAGGTAAATAAGTTGTTTAGAAACAAGTTATCCTACTGCTACTTTTTTAGTTAGACAAGCGCAAGGCTCAAATGCATTCGAATTTGAGCAGTGACCTGAAATACCCAGTTGCTCATGTAGAATTTGGATTTCCTCCTGGAGATGCCTCTGTTTCTCTATCGTTGCTTACAAAGGGAGTAGTCAAGAGCCAATAGCCTCCAGTTGAAAGCATGGAGTTAGACTGGCTAAATAAGGGCTAACTCCCCTCACTTGGTGCAGGACTCACACACTTTCAATCACACATTTTCAAACAGTGCACTTGCTACACTTTGGTGCCAGCTGCGTCACCTTGAGTGATAGCTCTGCTGCAGGACGGTTAGGGGAGCTTTGTAAAAAGCCTTATTCATGAGTGACAGAAACACAGGTATCACTGGTTACAAGGGTGAAAAGGGCATGTTAAAAGGCTGCATTAGGACAGAGAAAAAGGCCTAGTTATGTAAATCAAAGACTGTCTAAAGTAAAAACTGAAGCTACTAGCTATTGGACTAGAAGTAGATTGATAGAAATGTGCCTTATTAGAGGGCAAGTAAGTGGACAGGCTATTCTGTCCAACATCACTCTTCTCTGGAGATCATACAAAAAGGCATTTGTAGAAGAAGAATCATGCCTGAGGCGTTTCAGAGAGAGAAGACAGACCTCTTCTTTTCTCCTGAGACTTTGGCCTTGATTTCCATACTGCAAAGATCACACCACCCACCAAACTAGTAATTGCAGCACACCCGTGGGGACCTCACAGCGCTGCTGCTGTGAGGACCCAACACCATGGCCCCAGAACAAAGCCCACACTGTCCTGCTCTGTCCTCCTTCCCTGATGTCTCCGCGCCGTGTCTTCATTCTCCTGCCCCTCTCCAGTTTGTACTGGTGCCTGAACACTGCACAGCACCAGCAGGATGAGCTCCTGGGGGGCCAGCTGGAGTCGTCGCGAGTGTGGAGAGGCATCGCCACTCTCACGGGCAGGCTCGCGCCCCACTGTCCTGCCTGACCAACTAGTGCATCCTGCTCCAGGAGAGCTGGAACACAAGGTGCCTCCTACACTTCCACCCCTTCGCTGTGCTACTGCTTTATCCCTTCTGCTTTTTCTTTCTTGAGAACTGAATAGCAGAACCAGCGTTTTTCTCTGCGTGAAGAGGAACCACTTTGCAGAACAAGATTTGATCCAAGATCCTCTCCCTAATAAAGCAACTTTGAGAGTTTTTTCTTCCATGTAACTCCTCAGCTTTAACTTCAAAACACCATCCCTAGCTCTGCCTCTTTTCTTGTATCCTAGTCAATACCTACCCAGACTTTGGCATGAGTTTCCTGCTGTGTTTGCCATGGTAACCACATTGCCAAAGTCTCTGAACTTAGAGACACAAGAAGATTTTTTTAACTGTTTATTGTTGTGCCATGACAGGACTATATTCACTTGTTTTGATCCTTTAAGCTCATTCAGTCTATTAAAATTAGCACAAGAGATGCATGCTATCCTAATATAATTTTCCCTCTGTGCAGCCCAAACTTCAGCACACTCTTAACTCCCCACTTCACAAGGAATGTGAATTTTTGAGGAAAATAAAATCTGTACCTGTTTCCTCACATGTATATTTCCTTCCACAGGGATGTTGTAAGCGCTCCGGATCAAATTTTTAGCAATGAAATAGTAATATACAGAAATGACAGACAGGGGAATGATATAAAAGATCAGAAATGATGCCATTGAATGAATTTTGGGATGTAGCCCATCTGAATGTGGGTAAGGAGCACAGCTGACGAAGGTTTTATTAGTGCCTTTGTCATGGAAGGGGTGCAAATCAGAAAACACAGCTTCAGGAATGGCAAGCAACATGGAAACAATCCAGATTATAGCAGCTCTCACACAAATCTTCATCAGTGCATGGGATGCTTGGATCTCCATTGGTCTTACTATAGCTTTATACCTAAGAAAAGAAGAAAGAAATCATTTACCGACCTCGACACTGATCAGTTAAAATACCTGGGCAATGTAATTGTGCTTGTCATTCACAGATTCCTTCCATTTATAAGAAGCATACAAAAATCATTTTTACTCAAGACTGCTAATTTTTTTAAAGTGTTTTAAATTTCACTGTTTTTGATGAATTTCTCAATGCAAAGTAGAGTCACCTGACATGAGTTCATTCAATTTCACGTATGTTCATTCTGTTTGTAATTGTTCTTGTGTTCATTGTTCAAAATGTTCATTCTGTTTGTAATTGATCTGACAAAGCACAGTGCTGCCTAACATGAATATGTAGCATTCCAGTTAACATTAAGACAGGAAGCGTAGTCATAGGGTTCTCTTGAAAAGCATATGGCAGTTTACTTCCTTTTGCAGAACACTGTTCAGGGAAACTGGAGGGGTTACTGAGTTTGCAGATATTGCTACGTATTTCTTTTAGAGCTGTGAGTACACAGCCTTCTGCAAGCCAAATCTTATGTTTTCGCAAGCTGCAAAGAGCCATGTTGCCCATTTTAATTGCTGTTTGGTGCTGTAGTTGGCATTTGTCAGCTATCCCTAACTAAATACACCCAGGCTAAGCAGTCAAAGCTGCTAACTGACTTGCTTGAAGAAAAGTATTGCTTGCTATGCTAAATACGTGAAGACATTTTTTGATTTGCTATTTTGTCTTTCACAAGGTCAGCCTTTCATAAAGTTGTGTTTTAGAATCCAAGAAAATAAAAGAAGTAAACCTATTTGAACCTGATGTGTGGAATGGGAAGACCAAATAGCAAAGGAGCCCTGGTCTGGCAGGAATGTACACTACAAATAAATTACAGTTCACATATATATTTAAGGAAAACTCCAGAAAAAAACAGTAGGAAGAAATATCTATGGCTTTCATAAATTCATAATTTCATAAATTATTATTCAGGCTCATTATCGTATTACGGTACGAACAATTACGATCTTTCTATTTCCAGTGAATTGCTCTGCCAGATGCTTTTTCAAGCATCTACGCCTCACACTGGCTGTGGCTCACTTGGCTCCTTGGGCCAGTCCGCCAGTCCAGGGCTCTGTCCGCTCTACAAGGTTGCCGAGACCCTGGACTCTCAGCTGCCCTGGCCCATTTTTGGCAGGGCAGTGTACATGCCCGACACCCATATGGCTGCTCCACAGTCTGTTTCTCAGCTCCTTCCAGGGTCTTGACTCTTTCTTCAGCTGAAATGGGCCCTAAGACAGGAGCGGGAGTAGTGAGCGTAGTGCTCTGCCCGAGACACGACAGCATGCACCAGGATCTAAGCGCCCAGCAGCTCGACTGCAAGCTCCAGGGATATGGCATACACGTGTTACTGGTGCCCTGTATACTATAGTCTGCATTACCCTAAAGCTTATCACTTTATAGGTGACTTTATGAATCAGTCATACTTTTTTTTTTCAGAATTGTTTCGTTTAGAGGACAAGCATACATTCAACCTCTAGTTGTAAACACCCTGTTTGGCACACCTAGTCTCTCTCTGTATAAGTAAATATGTGTATGTTTGTACATATGTATGTGTTTTTAGAATATTATGTGTATTTATATGCATATATTTATATAGATATATGCATAAACATATACACGTAAACTTTATATTTAAAGATTGTATCTGGACATCTCCCTAGCTGCAGATGTTTCTCTATATGATCCCACCGGTATCTAGCATACATGTTTTTCAGTCCTTTAACGGCCTACAAACATTGTGCTCATTAGTCTTTTGTTTAACTGCTTATTTGCCAAGCTCTCCCCTTTACTGCAGCTATACAGCTAGAGTAGCCAGATGCAGTGTTTTTCATGCTTGCCTAGCACTGCTTTAAATTGCACAATGAAGTTGGGGGTTAAGTGGTGTCATACTACAAAGCACAATCTTCCAGAGCAAGATCATCATCTCAGGTGAAGAAAATCACAGCATCTAAATAAATATGGTGTTACAACTGTTACAGTGATAAAATGGAAGAGAGAGGCAGATTACTAAAACAATGCAGCTAAAATAGCTCACATTATAATCTGATTCACCATTTATGTATTATTGACAGAAACACTAGCTAACTGAATGTCTTCAGTAAACCTTAAAGAGGGTAAATAAAATAGGAAACAAATTGCATGTCAAGGTATCAATAAATTTAGTTAATTCAAAGCTATTTCTCTAGATGCTTATTGCATGCTTATCACCATGGCATATTAACATAATTATTTCAGTGATTTCTTATTTATAATATAGCCAGCTGAGAGAATATTTTCCAGTGTTAATTTCCAGTAACATGAATGAATTGAAATATACAGAGAAAGAGAGATTCTGTTTTATTTTTATGAACATAAATAGATTAGGGACAGTCAGAAAATGAATCCATTGCAAGTTATTAGTACATTTTAATCAAAGATGGCATTTCCGAACAATATAATTTTGAAAGAACATAATTACAAATGGCTAAGAATGCTGGCACTGATTATTAGGCATTCAGTTTATTTTACAAAGCCTGCTACAACAGATAGAAAGAAGATCTATGAAAGGTTTTAGTTGCAAGGGGCTCAGTATAGACCCAAATCACGGGGTAAAAAGTACAAAAAGATAAACCGGAAAAAAAGAAGCTAGAAAAATAGGTTTTGAAAATGTGGGTTCTCAGACATAGAAACATGGTAAACGGGTAAAAGGTAAAACATAGGTAAATGTTTTCTTGCAACGCTGACAACTGAATCAAATTATTTTGCTGACTATCTGTATGACTTACTTTATGGTGAGCTAACTTACTCAGAGATCTTCAGTAATTTATTTTCATCTGAGTGTTAATGCTTAATTGGTCAGTATTGACCTAGTGGGAGTCTTTATTTCCAGCTGCATTACTGCTATTTTAATGAGTCTCTCTCTAGCTTATGTTTCAACTGCCCTGTTTTCCCGCTTATGTTTCAACTGCCCTGTTTTCCCATGTCAGTTTTGGTTCTGGCTGCAGAAGTTTATTCTCTGCGGGGACACCCTGGTGCATGCACAGGCGATCTCCCAGAGCTGAGGCTAGGGAGCCTCTGAAAGAGCTTCCTGTGATCTGTGCTCAGAGAGTGAAAAAGCTGCATCTTGTTTACTGAGCAGAGCTCATATCTGTACTCCTCTACTTTTCCACACCACTTTCAGGAGGGGACCAGTCCTGAATTTTACAATTTACTTAAACTTTCTTAAGAATTGCAGCAAGCTGGACTGTTTTTGAGCAGCAGCTAGTCCTGTTTTTCAGCATCTGTATTTTCGGCTCCTGTGTCAAATGTTATTTCAAGCTTTCCATGGCTTTTCCCAGTGCCCCTTCTTTTTCAGTGAGTTAGTCTTTCCCTTTCCCTTACCACTGCACATCAGTTCCATGCCCACTTCTTCCCAACAACCCCAAAAAAAGAATAGCTCTGGCCTGGGAGCTGTTGCTACTTTTCCTGCTAAATGGCTGGTCCGACACGCACGAGAGCAGGCTCCCCCAATCCTGCAGAGACACCTCTGCTCTCCCCAGGGCCATCGCTGGAAAGTTTTGCCGTGCGTAGGCAAAGTTGTGAGATTTTCCCCCAAAGTGTTAAGCACCGTTTTTCCTGCTCTGCACAATTATATCAGTTATGATCAGCACCACAGCAATGAACTCAGTCTTGGACGCTCCTGGTTTCTGTGGTAGACCACCCCCGTGAGACATAAGCAATGTCTAATCCATGCCATTTGCATCTCCAACAAACAGGTGTTAACCCTTTCAGCATCAGTTAGTGTTACAGCATTTCACCCTGTCTCCTGTGAAAAGTCCAGGTGGAGGGTAAGAACCACAGGTGTGGATGGCCACCCTATGGCTGACTGAATTTAGATGAATTGAATCCAGTTCCCCGTATCTGCATTAGACCATGGGAGTGCAATGCACCTCCTCTACTAAAACTATCTGAGAGCAGAGCATCTACCTATGTTTCTGCTATAGTCAGTGGAGAGAGAGGCAGTTCCAGCACTAATTCCTCCACTTCCGAAACAGATGTCTGAGAGGAGTTGGATGGTAAATCCTCTGGAGTTGCCTCTCTTTCTACTTTCTGTAGAGGAAGTCTCGTCAATGAGAAGACTAGCTTCACAGGGAATTTCAGATGGTTAAATGTAGGAGTGAGACTGAGGTACTTAACTTTCCCATACCTAGCTTCCAGTGTTTGAATAATTCAATCCACTTTGAAGGAAACTTTGATGAAACTCCACGTACCTCAGTGGAGTTATGGACCTACGTGGCCAGCAAAGTGAGCACTTATGCAAAGTTCTTACAACAGTGTTATTTTCAACCCATGCAGTAATATAAGATCTAAGAGTGTGTGTCACATTACACTCTCAGCTTGTCTGCAATGAACCCATTCATGGCCTTGGGGTTTTCACCTCTGGTTCCTCTCCCATTCCATCTCTCTCTCTCTAGCTGTTGTATGATACTGCTGTGTTTCAGCTGAACTCCTTTGTCAACCTGCTCTTAAAGAAATTCTTAAAAAAGATTAGAAACCAAAGATATGATTTGTGTCCCACAATAAAGGCCAAAGCTTAAAAAGAAAAATGTGCCTTCTGAATACTCAGTTGAACAAAAAATGATACAATTAAGAACTTGTGTTAACTTCAGTCTCTCTCTAGTTGTCAAATTGCCTGAGTGAAAATGACTGGGTTGCTGATTTGGCTGGAAATATGAATGAGATGCTGATCTTTCCTCTGGCTCAGTTTTTGGTCTTCTGTGTTCCCCTTGAGCTTGCTAGGCTGCTACCAGCCTTGCACACAGCAGCTATGAATGACTTTCTAGCTGGGACAGATGTTGGTATTCTCTATTTTTCAAGGCCTCATTTTCTGCCATTACAAACAAATTACACCTGGGGCTTTAAAAAAGAGAATCAGCCCATCATTTTAAATCCACCGTAAATGCAATAAATATAATAACATGATAACCTCCAAAGTATTGGCCAGGAGTTTTGGCCAA